GTGGATAAAGGAGGAGAAAACAATCCATTAATTCTAAAGTGTTTTACTGCCAAAACTATGAGGGACTTAAGTATGAGTAAGTATTTTAAGCATCCCTAAAATAATTCCATTAGCTATTCTGGTAGGTTGCATCAATGTGCTGGTGTTAGTCACGGGCAGCTTCAAACACTCTTGGTGATTCACTTCAATCACACTTTACAGTGATTTGTGTGCCCCCCTCATCAGGTATATAATACTGCCTTGACATTGCATTTTCAAAAGCTTCTATCAAGATGCACACACAAACGAATCCTACTTTCATCAGGTAAAATTAAATAAATTCTCCTCAAAGTCCTTCAGAACTTGTTGCCTAAGAGGAACTGTTGAGTTCAGGTTTAGATTCAAGATAGAGCTCTTCAAGGTGATGCTTACAGGTGCTAAGCTGGTCATACAGATAGGAGCCAGTGAAAATAATCTGACCAGGCAAAAAATCCCTGTCACGCAATGCAAAGCAAATATTATATATTATCTTACAAAAGTCCTCATTATCTGAGACGGCCAAATTTCTAAGAAGAAATAGCAGTCTAATAAGTAATCTCTGTGTCTTTAAAGATGGTAAGCATCTCCTAGACCCAATGTACTATCACTTCCTAGGTGTGAAGCTAATAAACTCACTGCAAATCAAAATACAACATTCTAGGAAGCTCAGTCTAGCAGGAAGTAGCTGGGGGGGAAAATGATTTAATGAAAACCACTGTCTAAAAAACTAGCTATGAAAATTTCTTCACAGAGTGTTAAAACCTGGGTTTTGTGTGTATTGGAGTTAGTCAAACTGCAAAATCTAAGAGCACAGTCTCCAAAATAGCCCTTGGATTTTGACATCAACAGCAATGGCACGGGGGGCGTGTTCCAAACCACCCAAAATTCATGATTAAATAATTCACTGAAAGAACGCAGAACTCAATATAAGCTGTGAAGCTCAGTTATGGTTTACCATAGGGCAATGATACAGAAAATCAGCCAAAGGAAGAGATGCATAGGGCGAAACCTGGGTGGGAGTTCCAAATGCAAAGCTTCCAAAGTCCTCAGGACCTGCTGCCCTCCAGGGATCAATGTGTGACAGTACCCATGGAGTACTGTCAACCAGGAAAGCTCACCTGAGCAGCACTGTTCAGAGTTTTATTGGAGCCTCATTAAACAGCTTGACTGACTGATGGTCCCCATGATAAACTCACCTCCCCAGAGGCTGAGCTGTTACCACATGGTCCAAGGGGCCCAGCAAGAATAGCAATTTCTTTCTTTCCTTTTTTTTTTTTTTAATCTCTTCTTCTTCTTCTTTTTTGAGATAGGGTCTCACTCTGTTGCCCACACTGGAAGACAGTGGTGCCATCTCAGCTCACTGCAACCTTTGCCTCCTAGGCTCAAGTGATCCTCCCACCTCAACCTCCCAAGTAGCTGGGACTACAGGCATGTGCCACCATGCCCGTTTTGTTTTGTTTTGTGTTTTGTTTTGTTTTGTAAAGACAGAGATTCCTTGTGTTGGACAGGCTGGTCTCGAACTCCTGGATTGCTCAAGCAATCCACCCACCTCAGCCTCCCTAAGCGCTGGGATTACAGACATGAGCCACCGTACCTGGCTGAGAATAACAATTTCTATCACTTAGGAAATTCCAAGGATTTTGCATTTCCCAGGAGCTTGGTACAGAATCTAGACCTCTATTTGGGCAAGGCCAATTCCTTACTACACAGTTCGGCCAGATTATTAACTCTTGAATAATATATTTAAAAGGTAAGACAGAATGATGCTGTTGTGGTTCTATTTAAAACAAAGTCTAACTTACAGGGAGGGCCCTGCTGACTTGCAGAAGGTCAGTCATCATGGTGTCAACCTTGTGCTTCACGTGGCCTCTCGCTCTCCAAGCCTAGCTCAGGCTGAATGACATGGCAGCTGGGCAGAGCTTCAGGACAGAGATTTTTCCATCTAAAACCAGACCTATCTTTCTCTATGAAATCTACTCTCCACCGATTTTCCAATCTGCTAACCTCATAATTTTGTTTCTTTTGCCCTTTTTACCTAAATGTTAGGAGATGAATTGTGTCCCCCAAAAATTCATAACTCCATTGCTCAATACCTCAGAATGTGACTGTATTTGAGGTGAGTGTCTTTAAGGAGGTAATTACATTGCAGTGAGGTCATAAGAAGGGGTTTAGGCCGGGCGCGGTGGCTCAAGCCTGTAATCCCAGCACTTTGGGAGGTCGAGGCGGGTGGATCATGAGGTCAAGAGATCGAGACCATCCTGGTCAACAAGGTGAAACCCCATCTCTACTCAAAATACAAAAAAATTAGCTGGGCATGGTGGCGCATGCCTGTAATCCCAGCTACTCAGGAGGCTGAGGCAGGAGAATTGCCTGAACCCAGGAGGCGGAGGTTGCGGTGAG